GTAATTTTTCATGATTATATTATATTTTCCCATTTAAATAAATAATGTAAATATGCTTATAAGTATATTCTGTATATGGGTTATTTCCTTTGTGCTAGTTTGATGTGGAAATCTCTGAATTTATTTATCATACCATTTTTTTGTGATATGAAGATAGTATGCAATATCACAAGAGATTTATAACGTATTTTTGTTTGTGTGTGTGTTCTGTGTTTGTCATATAATTTCCTTTAGGTCCATTATGAGATGGAATAATCAAATGTTTTATAATTTAAACATTTCTCCTATCTAATTGAGTTCACTTAAAGAACTGACTCAATATGCGATTTTTTAAATTTTTATAAACAATTATCAAAATATAACACATTGATTAAATACAATTTTAAAACACAAAAAACCCAAAAACAAACAAATAAAAACCTCACCTGGCTCATGCTGCTACACGTATCGTTGTATTCTTACTGTGTGACTTTTACGCTGTAATTGCAAATAGGTATTTTTTTTTCTCAATAAACTGAACTATCTATGATACTTCAGTAGAAACATGTTCTCTGGAAATTCTCTAGAAAAATAAAATTTCCTACTCCTAAAGCTAACTGAACACTTCCAGAATATGATACATTATTTACTTGCGGCAAAGGTAATAATCTAATGGCCTTCGGATTCAGCAGCATTCGTCTTTCATGGAGGCCATCTCTGTGAAAAAGAGCTATTGTAGTATGCTACAACTGTACTGGAGGCTCTGTAAAAGAATTCATATATATGCAGGTGTTAAAACTCTAAATAAATAATCTAGCTAATGACTTTACTTCTTGGCTTCTTTTGAATATTTTCACTCCCACTTCCATTATAGAAATGTATTATAAAGTGGTTTAAATATGTGGTCAAAATTTTATAGCAATCCATAAAGCTGTAATATAATGTTCCTTGTAATTTTGTAGAGAAAATTCTTAGAAATATTGATACAGTCTTATCTAGTTCTTTCTCATTTGACTAAGTCTAAAGGTTGTAATGTACTTTCAAATAAATTGCTAAAATAAAATATTTTATTTTTCTCTCTCTCTCTTTAAATTTATTTTTATATACAGTTGTTTTTATTTAGTGGACTATTTTTAAAATTAGGCATACTAATTAACACTTTTATTTTTCAAATCCCATACTAATCATCATGATTATATATCTACCATTACTCTGTGGACCTTTATCTTTTTTGTGACCTTTCTCTTAATTAATCATTTTAGTTATAACTTTTAATGGAAAAATAGCACTGAACATCACAAGTGAGTTATAATGTTCACCCATCATCATCTGAAACTATGTCAGACAAATTTTTATGTTTATTAACTATTAACGAATTTCTTTCTATATCTTCCCTTGGGACGTTCAAGAAGGAGACAAAGTTATTTCTACGTGAGTCATGCATATGAAATTCTACCCAAGAATAAGATTTCCATTTAGCAAATAAACACAACAGGAAACAACAAAGTTAGAATTTGCAAAGGAAATACATATATTTCTAGCTTTGCATGATTTAGCATTCCTTTCATTTCCTTATTTCCTGCAGCTTATAAAATTCATATTATCTTGCTTAATCAACTTCATGCAGTTTATAAACAAATATTGGAGAAGGGAGTAAAGATTAAGTGAAAATAAGCAAATGCAGGTATAGTCACTCTTCTAGCTCCTTCCTGGAGCTGAAGAAGTTGATGTCCTGAATTTCCATCAAAATAAAGCTGATTGCAGTGCAAGTCATTTGGTGCTGAGTTAGCTGCTAACATTAGTTCAGTCTCCTAAAAAACTAGATTTGCTTTACAAAGAAGAAACAAAGAACACAGCAAACAACTATGTAAGTGTAAAATCAGTCTTAAAAATGCAGAAAATGGAGGGTGAGGGACCACTAAAGAAAATACAGCAAAACTACATAAAAGGATTCTGTATGAAATTAGCTGGCTCAAGAACAAACAAACAAACAAAAACACAAAAACACAAAACAATTTTAGGCCCTCAAAAATATGTGATGGACTTTGAAGTTTTGTTTAGTTTTACAACTCAGATTCTTAAAGCTAGATCATTTACCATTTAGCCAATTTCTACCAAAAGTGTACCAATATATATATATTGTTGTCATGAATGTGAGACAAATTGCTACTGCCCTGGTATGTTGAACAACATTCAGTAAAAAAAAAAAAAAAAAAAAAAAGAAAAAAAAAGAAAAAAAAATTGGCAGTAGTATCACTTTTAACTTGAGAGGCAAAGGCTGGTGGATCTCTGTGAGTCTGAGGCTAGCTTGGGTTACAGAGTGTGTTCCACATCAGCCAAGGATACACAGAGAAACCCAGTCTCTGAAAACTTAAACAAAACAAAATGAAAAGAAATTGTTCTCATTTACATACTTAGTATTCCACCACCCAAATTCCTGTACTATCCATGGACTGTTTAGAGAAATGTGAAATTTCTTTTCCTCTCAGTGTAGGATATCAGGTAAAAGTATTTTGATACCTATATGAGTCCTTAAATGGATGGATATATCAATATGGGTAGAAATATGTGTTTACATTTTATTATAAATTCTTAAATGTTTATTGATCATAAAATCTACCTCACTGTATGACCCAAATAATATCTACAAATTCTAGAAGTTTTAATAAATCCTACAAAAACACTTTGCAAACTGTCATACACTATTAACACAATGGCCTCTAAGTACATCTCCATGCTGACATTCAAGATGGCAGTGGGAAATATACCTTTAGCCATAGAACCAACACCATGAAGTGTTGTTTTTTTTTTTGTTCTCTTTAGATTTGTGTGTGTGTGCATGTGCGCATGCACGTATGCATTGTGAGTATGTGTGTGTCTGTCGTCATATCTACATATATTTTTCTAAAGCACTTCACTATATATCTGAGGGTTGTTGTTTTGCTTTGTTTTAAAATACCATTATCATGAGGCTATGACTTCATGGTAAAGTTATTTATAAAGTTTTCAAATACTAAGTTGAGTACTGAAAAGTACATGACGGTTTGTTTCCTACAAGCTCTACTGATATTTGGTTCTCCTCTTAAAGCCACAGAAAGTCAGATGGATTGGCATGTCATTGCTTCCCTCATTACATCCTGAAGTACATTTCCTCATCAGACTTCATTCAATTTCCTTATTTAGAGGAGGAAGATTGCCAATCAAAGTCAAATCACCAGGATATCATTGCCTTGAAAAAGTATGTATAATCCCACCTAAAAGAAGGAAAGAGAAAGCTGAATTTTAAAATTTTGCAAGGCAGATACAAATTCAAGATACGAATCTTTCTAAGGTAACTCTTCGTACTGCAGTAAGATGGTATAAACACCCCATGCAACATATCACGGTACATAGAAAATAGTCTCTGAAGCCTCAGGGCTGGAAGAAAGTTAATTACCTGGGATTAGATAAGCCAGTTATTTGAACTGTACTAAGTTCATGATAAAATAGTATTCTTATAGTTAAGAATATGAACTTCAAACAAATGTGAATAGAAACATTAGAACACAGAGGATGATAAATGATATATAAATGTATAAATATGAATGATGTAAAGATATATAATAGGTAGAGAATAATCAAAGAAAAGCAAAGGTAAAGATTTCATTTCCATTTTCAAATTATTTTTTCCCATACCTCACATGATATATATTTTAAGTTTTTAATGATTCTTTTGTTTTGTTCTGTTTGTTTTGTTTGTTTTTTTGAGACAGGATTTCCCTGTGTAGCCCTGGCTGTCCTGGAACTCACTCTGTAGACCAGGCTGGCCTAGAGCTCAGAAATCTGCCTGCCTCTGCCTCCCAAGTGCTGGGATTAAAGGCGTGCGCCACCACCGCCTGGCTTTAATGATTTTCTAATTATCTTTGACATGGAGTAAATATAAGAATTTTGTGGTCTGGGAATGTATATCTATGGAATAACATAATATAGTAAATCCTAAGTTTGATTTCCTCAGTTGCCAAAACAACAAAATAAATGTTAATAATCCTATATAAGATGTAATATGACTTGGAGTTAATTTCATCTTAAGTGTGAAATTTTTGTAAGTATCAATGGAGGGAAAATTCTTGTTAAAATATCTTTTAAAAAATATTTTCTGTGTATAGTATGAGGCTTTAAGACTAGCTGTGTCACTGGCCCAGGAATGCCATGATTGAAGAATACAACTTCCATTCTACTATCAAGAAATGTAATATGCCATTACATGTGATAGGAGAACAAAGATCCATTTGCCCTCAGATCTCCAGGATAGGCAGGAATGTTAAGCACATATGATTGTCCTCTCAAAGGAATGAACCTAAAACCTCTTCTATTGAGACAGCTGAAAGTGATTAATTGCCTGGATATTTGTGTTACTTGTTGGGCCAGGTCATATCAAGCTCCTATTATACAGACCCAGAGGTTGCGAGTAATCTAAATGACTTTTACAGAGAGAGACTTCCAGGGTCTCACAACCAGTACCAGAGGTGGCTAAAAGCCCAAATGACTTCTACGCTTTCTGAATGATAGAGACCAGGGTAGATTCTTCTTTACACCCTTAAGCTAGTACAGACAGCTAATCTCTAGAACCCATCTTCTCAGAAGAAATGACATGTACCCTGAGTTGAGTTTTGGTGTAATTACACTTTCTTGAGTACCAAGGATTGTCACTCCTGGACACTTTCTTCCTATTGACACTATTTTCAAATGTGGTGGGAATAAACGTCTGGCATCAGACTCTGAAAGGCTTGGTCCAGGTTGACAAAGTCAATCAGAACTGAATTTTCATTCTCTCCACTTTGTTTCCCTACCTGATCCCTGCAGAGAACTCCAACACATGCTTCACCCTAAATCCTCAATTACCATCCCATCATTTGCCTTGGTTTACCTTAACCTAGCAGAAAGCAATGCATATTAAATCAAAATGATACAGGCGCTCAGTTACTTTTTTCCCTTCCAAAACAGAATTCTTCGTTAAGAGAGAAACACACTTACAAGTGTGAAACCATTTGATCATGTTATATTTTAATTTGTAAAGACAAAAATGACAAGCAATTTATTTACATAAAACTGTACAAAAGCAAATTAAATTATGTAAAGTATTTCATAAATAGTTGGACGAGTGTTTAATACATTTCGCCATGTTTAGCAAAGTCGCGTGCATAGTGACATAATCAATGATGATTAATTGTTCTCTGCTTCACTATTAACATCCAAGTAGCAGAACAATAGTCAATGATTAACATTACAAACAGATCGTACCACACGGAATGCAAGTGCTTTATAATGTAGGAAAAGTTGTCTGAAAGTAAACCCTAGGTAGCTGAACGAATGATGCCGCATCCAGATGTCACATATACCACGCCTGGGTCATTAGCTTACTCATATCCCTGATGAACTTTGCTCCTTTAGTTTACTATTTTAAGGAGGCAACTATTTATGTACTACTGATCTAACCTATCATTTGAAATGTCATAGGTCTCAAGATTTTGCACAACTGTTTTAAGATGGCTGTTTGATTCCTGGCAGTTTCTTTCTGGCCTGTGTATTTCATTTTGTATTTTCCCCTAACCCGGCCTCCCAGGGTAGCCTTTCAGGCAAACATCCTTTGTATCACTTTAGTTCTTTCTCTCACAAAAATAATGCCTCCTTCATTTTTCTGAAACTCAGGCAACAGGCCAGTTTAAAAAAATAAAAGAACGAAAATCAGACAACAATGCTCTCTCGAGATTCAAACAGAGCAGTCAATTTTAGACAGATGCTACAGACATTTAAATATACACACATTTGTATAATTACTCAATTTGTAAATGTGCCCTAATGTATTATCATGCAGAAGTCCACTTGACAGTCTGTGTACAGAAAATGAAGAAAGTTTATATACTGTACAACCAAAAATGAAAAACCAGTTAAAAAGAGAGAAAACAAAAATGAAAACTTCTAAATCAATATTCTACCTTGCAAAAAGGATTGATTTCACCCCGATAGTATTTCCTTGTGTGATTCTATACGAATAATTTCACTGTCCAGTGAGATTGAAGCAGCCCCATATTAATGCCTGAATCTTATCTTATGAATGAACAATATTTAAGACTGGTCCATTATCTGAGTTTGTCAGAAGGCAAAGTTTTAATATATTATTTATTCTCAGAAAATAAACATGGATAAATATACAGGATCAAAAAAGTTGGGAATAGCCCATTTCCCCTCATTATCCAAACCCAACAACCACTCATTTGTTTGTTTACTTGTTGTTTGCTTGTTCATTTACCATAACAAGAGGTATAAAAGGCACAGTTGCTTATTTTGCATTCACTCATTTATTTATTTATTTTTTTTTGTTTTTATTTTTTTTCAAAAGCACTCTATATATGGAGTGGCACCGGATTTAACCTAGTCAAAATAAAAGTCATACAAACACAAAATATATTTCTGTGTCATGCCAGCTCATTATATAGTAAACATGTTATGATAACTAATTCTACTAGAATTACTTTGAATACTTACAGTACACTGAATTTTATTCTTTCACATCCATTTTAGTTCTAAAGAGAGGTTCACACGTTAAAGGACAATGACATGACTGCCTGGCATGTGGTGCAAACACCATCGTGGAATGTGGGTTGAATAAATGTGTAGGTCCAGTGTGACCTGTATTAGCTTTATAAACAACCAAAGGATTTTAAGAGTGAAATGAGCTATCTAGTGGCTTCAAGTGTCCCATGAAAGAAAGAAAATATGCATATAAAAAAGTGTTGAACATCAGTGTTATGCAATTATTTCCTCTGTAACGTGCAAGAAAAATATGTATACATTTTCATAAGTATCTTTAGAAGTATTTCATCTTAATAGGTACTTACAGATTATACAAGGCAGAACTGCTTGAATGCAGTTTCCTAACAAAGTTCTAGAATTTCATCTTTCCATAGTGTAAATAATAACCAAACATGAGCATGTTCAATTATTGGTATTTTAGTCCAATGTTTTTATATCAATTACATCTTTTTTTTCATTCTACCTATTATACATAAACTAACATCAAAACGAAAATTCCACTTTAAGAAAGAGCATAAGGAAATGATCCCAAAAGACCCACCAGAGAAACGTTCCTCAAAGATAAGTACTTTGATGATCTACAGTGAATTATCAACCTATAGTCTTGGTTTCTTCATCTTATAGTCTAAGAAAATCTGAAAAGCAGGAAACTGTCCAAAGCTACAGTGTCTCTACAGTTTTGTAGAAAGCCATCAAGGCTACAGTTTAACCAAGTAACTAGCATTCGGTGATGAGAACATTTGCTCTCTTTACCTGTCATCGCCTATATCGTCCATGGATTGTCACATTCTTCTGAATGTCCCAGCTCAAATATCAGTTTTCTTAAATCATCTTGCATAGAGCAAAGCATTCAAAAATCTGCATATTCTGTATCTCTTGAAAAAAAAAAACTATACATTTTCCAACTTTGAGATGCATATATTTGTGTTAAATAAAATATTGTCCAGAACTCATTCTTTCATGTTCAGAGATTGTTTAAGACGCACATTGAATAATATTCAAATTACCAGTAATGACAAGTCAATTAAAGTGTTATATTGTTTAAGTGTTTGAGTCTCAAAATGTTTCTGTGTTGTACAGAATTTGAAATCAATGCACTTGTGTTCTGACCAAGTGAAAAATGCGATTATAATTAGAAATGATAATAAGATCACCAAGAACAGCTGGGATCCCAAAATGACAATAGGAGACTTCATGAAATCATATTCCAGTGTGTCTTTTTGTATCTCACTATGCATCAATATGACATTAAAATGTAGATTCTTCCCTGACAATAACACATGAGAGTAGACCTGGGCTTTGACCAGTTGCTTATTATAAGACAACACATGTGTCTTATTAGTTCTTTCATTTTCTAAGTATTTCACTAAAGTTCATTTTAAAAAGAAGACTATTTCTGGGAGAAGAGTTAATATAAAACCAACTAAAGTCTGAGTGTTTCTGTGTGTGTACAGGTTCGGTTCCTTCTGTTGTTTAGTAGATTTCTACGTCAAGACCAAATCAGTTTTATTATTTCCCTGATCTGCCATGTGGTCTTTGGCCTCAAAATGACATAAGAGTTAAAGTTCCTTCATGAGTAATTCTATTCCAAAACATTCTTTTACAAATTATAATTCATGTAATTGTTTTTGTCAAAATTGGGTGAGTATATTCTGTGAATGTATGGAACAGAAGTTGATGCCTTTGACCTGAAAGTAACAATATATGGCAGCTTGGAACTGCATTCTTCTACTGAGTTTCAATTTGCACTGTTTGTTTTTAAAGCTGCTGTCATCCTAAATTACTTTTTCAAAGGGTCCCTTATATAAGGGACTATACCATTAAAGGGATTTTATTAATTCCAATGGGCTGACTGTAACAATAATAAACCATTGATAGTCTGTAGTATATTTTTAACCCATCCTTCTTTTATTAACAAGCTAGATGACGCTCAAACAAATCAAAGTGACCAAAATCATGCTTCAGATTAGAGATAATGAGAGTGTGTTATGTTCTGCTAATCAGACTTGTTACCATGAAAAGAACTTGCAACCATCTTTTGTTGTCGTTGTTTTGTTGTTATTTGGGTTTGAGGAGGGGTAGGAAAAGAGGGTGGGTTGTTGGGGATCAGTGAAGGTGTAGACATGCAAGTGACAAGAATGGATTCTACTTTGTACACTGTCATCAGGCAAACAGTAACACTAAAAGCCTGATTTGGAGGCAGAAGTGGCAGGCAAAGCTTTGTCTCTTTGGTAGCCCCCTCTTTGTGATTAAATGGTTTTACTTAGTAATGTTTTTGCCCCTAACTCTCCTCGTACATGAAAAGAACTTTGCTGTTGCTCCTTGGCAACCTACAGATAAACTTCTCTTCTAGTGAGAGTGCTCACAGGAGATGGCTTATATTCCCCTGTTTTTGTTAAAGGAATATCCTCAGGGTTGGCTTCCTCATTTTTGCTGAAACTAGCTGCACTGAAGGTCTCATAGGATGAGGTCAACTTTTTGTTCAGGAGGTTTCTGTTTCGGTCACCCATGATGGCAGCCTCGCCATTGGCCAGCTTTTCTTGGCTTCCTCGTTCATCAACAGGCATGAAAGTGGAGAGTTTGGGCTGGCTCTTCTTCCTCTCTGGGGAAGTGCGCACTGGCATCCAGCAGGAATCTGAATGGCCATACTCGTCACATTCACGGGTGCACTTGCCAGTCAGCGCTACATCCGGAAGAGGCCTTGAATCTGAAATTCAAGAAGAAGGATCAGTGTTGAACGTGCACCAACAGGCTTTCCTGATGCATACAAGCCTGATACTAATCACTCCATAGAACAGTATTTATTTCATGTATAGTAAAGATAAGGTTTTGCAAAAATAGAAACTTTAGAAGATAGAACTGGAGAAACGGTAATTTAAGTATGTAAAATAGCCAGTTATATATCCATTTGGTGTATTACAGAGCCATGAAGATACTTTCATGTGTTAAGTACATATGTATATTTCAATGGTTATAAATTTTAGACAAGAAAAATTATTAAATCCAAAAGGATAATTATCTGTATCTATATGTTATCCCATAGTGTGCTGTTGTCAATTGGATTACATTCACTTATGCATTATTCATATATATGCAAATAGGCAGAACCTTATATTTAAAATACATTTTAAGATCCAAGTGTGACTGAGAAGTAGATTCTAAACTGACAGCACATTGGTATAAAGTATGAAAGCAATGTACAAGCAAGTTAAAGATCTAAGCACATCAACAATAGCACCTAGAGTTCCACCCTGCCCACCCTCCACCCTCTGTCACTGTGACAGATGACGTAATGTGTGTGGTAAGACAGTGCCTGTGTGTTTCATGGAAGGATATTCACAAATGTGCTTGCTGAATGGGAATCTGAAATATAATGTATTGAGTAAGTCTGGTTAAGTCATAAATGACTGATGGAACTATGTAAGTTTCTAATTAATGTTGTTTATCAACAGAATGGAAAAAATTTATTCCATTTCCAACAAGCTAAGTCATTTCTGCAGAGTTCTTAGAGATTGAGATTAAATATTGCAGTCAAGAATTACTGCTATGCATGAATGAAATCATGATATGTAATTATAAACATTTCTTAGAATTAAAAATTTATTTACTGGCTTTTACTATTTTTTAAAGAGTAAGAGACAGAGACTTGCTCTACTAGCACAACAGATTCTAAACCAATCACCTGTAGGGCTTCATTTAATGTATTTCAGAGTTTAATATAGTACTCATAAAAACACAATAAATATCATATGAGTATGAAATTACTACAACTTGGGACTTAAAAGTAAACCAATTCTGGTGTCTACACTAATGTGTACTCATAAATAATAAATTGCATATGTATAATACAAAGTAGTTTAGCATCAAAATGAGAGAGTCATTTACATGAGTTCCAGTATCATTTAAGTTTTACTTTGTTAAATGTCATAAATAAACACTCCTCAATCATTTCTTTACCTTTTTCCCTTTATGGACGGATTACTGGATTATGTAATTATTCGTTGTAGATTTTCACACTACTATTTGACTTCTGGATGAACAAATCCTTTAACTTCAATAGTCAAATGTAGTGACCATGACGGGGTGGGGGGTGTCTTGATAGATATTCCAGCAGTTAAGAGCTACTCTTTTAGATGACTAGGCTTCTGTCTGTAGTATCTACACAGCAGTACACAAACAGCTATAATTCCTGTTCTAGGGCATCTGGTGCCCTCTTCTAGCTTCCATGAATGTCAGGCAAACAAGCTAACACAAAAATACGTGGAGGCACCACCTCCCCTACACACACACACACACATACACACACACACACACACACTACACACACTCACACACACTTTTTCATTATTTTTAAATGCTTAATAACTTTTTGCATTATTCCTTAAAAATTCTCTAGTACCTTTTTTAATACTATTCTTGTAATCCATTTGATTTAAACAAGGGAATATTAACCTGTGATAATATCTTGACAGACATACATACTTTGAAAGAAAATAACTTGAAAATGTGGAGCATCTGATTAGTTATATCTTTCACTCTTTTAAAAATTTTATTAATCATTTTATATGTTTGCATTTCAAATGTCATTCCCCTTCCTGGTCTCCCCTTCACAAGCCCTCCACACCATCCTCCTCACCTTTGCCTCTAAGAGGGTGCTCCTCTACCCACTTATCCACTCCCGTCTCACCCCTTTAGTATCCACCTTCTCTGTGGCATGAAGCCTCCAAAGGACCAAGTGCCTCCCCTTCCACTGACGACAGATAAGGCAGTCCTCTGCCACATATGTAGCCAGAGCCATGGACATTCTCATCTATACTCTTTGGTTGGTGGTTTAGTCCTTGGGAGCTCTGAGGGATCTGGTTAACTGATACTGTTGTTCTTCCTTTGGGGTTGCAATCTCCTTCCTCCCTTCTTCTAACTCTTCCATTGGGGTCTCCGAGCTCAGTCCAATGGTTGGCTGTGAGTGTCTGTGTCTGTGTTAGTCAGGTGCTAGCAGAGCCTCTCAGAAGACAGTCATACCAGGCTCCTGACTGTAAGCATATCTTGGCACCGGTAATGGTATAGGGGTTTGGTGTCTGAATGGATCCCCAGGTGGGGCAATCTATGGACCGCCTTTTCTTCAGCCTCTGCTCCATTTTTTTTTGTCTCTGCATTTCCTTTAGACAGGGACAATGCGGGGTTAAAAATTTTGAGATGGGTGGGTGACCCCATTCTTCCATTGGGGACCCTGTCTATTTACTAGAGGTGGTCTCTTCAAGTTCTATCTCCTCGCTGTTTGGTATTTCGGCTAATGTCATCCCTATTGCGCCCCGAGAACCTCTCACATTGCTGGTGTCTGAACGTTTTCTTCTTACCATTTCGGTAAAACGTTTTTAAGAATTATACGTAGTTCATATAGAGTTTATTCATTTAAATTTGGCTCATTTTCTAATCAACGACACCAGAATTATTCAGTCTACAATATTTCCTACTAAAAAATGTTTTCCTCTTAATGCTTTTAATGAAAGACATTGTGTCTATTTTTCTTTTTTCTTTGTTTTCTATTTTTTTTTTTTGCAATGGTCTATTTACAAGCTGCCACATCTATATCCCATAAGCGTGATGACTTTTAATAAGGACCTCCTGTCATTTATAAAGTCAAGCACATGATTGGGGACCACCGTGGAAGCTGACAAGCCTAATTGGCTGAGACATATTGCAGTGTTTGTCATCAAATTTAGAAAATAATCAAGAACGACTATCAGAGAGTCATCAGGAGCAATCAGAACTTCCCATCCTGATGACTGAAATAAATCTTGAAAAGCAATGCCAATGATTAACACATGCAATTTTTATTATGATGCAATTTATTAAGGGAGCAGATGAGTGGGGTAATTCTCTGTGAATATATGTTTTTATTTCCAACATGCAGGCATATATTATTATTATTATTGATTTAATTTTTATGGGAACATTGAAGATCATTGAACATAACTCCCTTTTCCATAAAAAATAGAAAATTAAAAATATCCTCTGTAGGATTATTTTGGGATTAATCATTTTATGACCACCACCTCTTAATAGTCTAAAAAGAATGTGGTATTTATTTAATTATTTATTAATTAAATATTTATTAATTGATATTTATTAATAAATACTTTATGAAGGTTATTATATTTTAGTGCAGTATTATACCCAATATTTTGAAGAAAGTAAAGAAGGAAAACACCTAATACAAATCTTGTTAGCATGGACTATATTAATAGGAACATAAATTTTTCTATTCAGAAATATAATATTCTCTAAAGTGATTTTAACCAATATTTTTTAGGTATTTTAAAATTTTATATTCTCCCAACCTTTTTTCCTATATTTATTCATTATTGTGAATGTATGTGCTTTTATGTATATGCATTTTTTGCATAAACAATGGACTGTATGTTCATATCAGAAGACAATACGGGAGCTTGAACCTTTCATGATGTAGAACTAAGGACTTCACCATTGGTGGCAAGTGCCTTTATCTGGTAAGCTGTCTGGCTGTCCCAAGCCCCAACTCTTATGAAATATTAAGAGGACAAATGTGGAAATGATATTCAGTAGATTCTTTTTTGTTTAACATTACTTGTGTAACTCTCCATTTTAAAGGAATTATTCAATTTAAGAGAAAGATTACAATGGTTTGGAGAGCTAAATCTTTTCTTAGACTTAAGATTAACTTCCTGCTCTAAAGCAGAGATACAGGCCATTATAATACAAGGAATCCTAGAATGATGACCTAGAATATGTGAGTACCTTTCTACAGTCTATTAATTTCCTTCTTGCTTCAACTGAAGACCAAGGAGGACAAATGAAATGAGGGGTCAAGCCTGTGGGGGAGCTAAGGCCCAAGGCTGAGTAATGCTCACTTTAGGGCTTCTCCATTACATCACTTTGTTCCTTTCTAAAATATAATAGTGAAATTACTTAGAGGTCAAATACTGTTACTCAAGCACCTAAGAAAAAGGGAGAGCCTGGGGGAAGAAAAAATATCTAAACTGCACAGAAAACTGAAGCCACGTAATCATACATTTTTACTACCAAGTAAAAAGACTAGCTTGATCATAAAAATATGTAAATCTCCTACACTAGGAAAAAAAATCATACCCTAATTAAAAGGTTAAGTTTTGTCTCTAAAAGCATCTTAATTCTTACTAGAGAAGGAAGATAACAGGCAAACGTGCAAGGTTCTGCTTTGATAAACTCTACAAGGGTGACAGAAACCAATGGAGATGTTAACATGGAAGAGGGGACTCTCATGGCACCTGAGTGTAGACAAAAAAATCTAGAGGCTACTAATGCTGAGAACAGAACTGCTCTTCCCCATGGAAGAGAGACATCAGAGGGTTTACAAAATACCAATTGATTAGTCCTGAAATCATATACATAGCAGTAACATTAGACAGAATGAGCATACATACACAAAAGCTATATATATTTAATATATAAATATTTATATTTAATATTACTTATATATAAACCATATATACATATATAACAACATATACGTATACATATACAAGAATTAAGAAAATAGTATGGTTTTGAGAGAGAATAATGGGATGCATTGGAAGAGCTGGGGAAAAGAGAAAGAGGAGAGGACATGATGCAGCATTTTAATTTTTTGAAGAAACTAAAATGGTTGGGCTTTTGGCACACACCTTTAATCCCAGCACTCAGGGGGAAGGA